AGCAGGACTATTGCTGAAGGATGGCCAGTAGTAGAGCCATGCTCAATGAGAATCTAATTTTGCTTTTGGGAATTGGAGTAGCATGTGTCTCAGGGCAAAATGATACACGCTCTGTCCTCAGTGAAAGCTGTGTGCATCCAAAGGAAAAATCTGACCCAGTATGTCAGTTATGATTTTTCAGTCTCATCTCTAAATCTTTTTGCTCTTTGCATTTACATCTACATTTAAGCCAGTGCCACATTTTTATGTATATGTAAACTAGGCCGATCCAATACAGAAAAAGATTAAAGATATAGTTGAAATAAAGTTAAAAACCCCCAAACAAATAAACCAAAGTTCTATATGTAAGATAATTTTTATCTCCAGTCTTCTCAGTTGCCCTCTATGGTGTGCTGTGTTTTTTCATGATTGTCTATTAGGTACAAAGTCTCCTGAGACAAGGGCTGTGTTTTAGAGCAGTGAAAACACTACTACTGCTTTACAATTATAGCAAAAAATGCTAGAAATCTGTGAGTGAATGTTCTCAACATATTTTTTGTTTACCTACATATTCTGTACACAAACTAATTTTATAAAGTTGATTATTTTGCACATTAATGCCCTCTTACACAATTTTTGCGGATACTATGTGAGTTATCTTTTGTTGCACTTACATTTACAGTCCAAAGCAGGTACCACGTTGAGACAGTCATGCTAACTTCAACAGGAAGGAGTTCACTTAGCTAAGACCTCATGCAGAATAATTTACCTTGCTGATTTACCCTGGAAATTGAAATACAGTGCCCACTTTCCCATGTCCAGTCCACCAGATATTTCTTTATTACACTATACTGTGTAATATTTTTCCTTACTGCATGGTAAGGAAAAGCAAAGCATCAAAACTAAGTACTTGTTACCTGTTAGTATTCTGTTTTGGAAAAAATATACATAGTTTGACTCTTACTTGTATAAAGACCTATATTGTCTTGGCGAAGTAAAGAAGAAGCAAAAAATGTTAATATGCAGTGACTTTCTACTGGAAGGCTCTCATAGAGAAGCTTCAGAACTGGAGGAAATTCAAGTCATTATCTCAGAAAGCATCTTTTCAATTACATGTATAGAACTGAAAATTTCCTTTACTTGCTTCTTGATGAAGTTCCCAGTCCACATGCACTTCTTGTCTCAGTGAAAAAAAAAAATTACACTAAACCACGTCAGAAAAACACTGCATACCATTCATGCTCACAAGCAGTACACTATTTGTTACACCAAAATCTATTTCACCATAAACAAGTGCATTATCCTATTTTAACAAAATAAGATGCCTCCCCAAAGCCATAGGCAAATGATAAGCAGGGTCCAACACTTGCCTTCAGCTTACCCATTCAGAAGAAGATGTTTACATCACTGAAAAGCAGAATGTACTGGCAAAATAAGAATTGGAAGTAAGATCAGGTGGATGCTATTTTGTTTCCTTCCTCGCTCTATTACAAATGAACTTAAAAAAACACCAAAAAAATGGGATGTTGCAAGATTTTTCAGAACTTGATTCTGTTCCCATTTAAGTCAATGGAAGAAAAATCCCATTAATCTAAAATAGGTAGCTTCTAGAAACCTGTGACAGGGGTACTTGGAGAGGAAGGCCACCACATAATTTGAGGCAATACAGAAAATGCAAAGGGAAGCAATGAGATGCCACAATACAAAACTGTGGCTACCCTGACAATGATGTGCAGAAGGGCTGCTTCTTACCACAGTATGAGCTATTACAGCATCTGGCAGCAATATGGACTATGATCTGGTATAAATCTCTTTTGAAAGAAGTCTGCATCCAGTCCTCTCAAATTTGTGTGATGAATTTTAAGATTCAGTATGTGCACTACAACTAGGTTCAACAGGGGCTGAAGAAGCAGCCTGCATGAAGCACATGGTCTCCCTGCTGTGCATTTTAGAAATGTTTTGCTGAATATTGCAGAGTGATTGCCATTTTATGACAAAGGAGAGTCAAATAGCAACTAAAGAGCCTGAAACTAGGCTCAGAGGGTGCAAGAGATAGTCATCAGCATTAGAGCTAGGAGGACCTGTCAGGTAGAAAGGCACAGTGAAGTATTCTACAGGGCTTTGTTTTCCCATGTAACTCCAACAGAAGGCAAGTTGTTTTCAGGGAGGTTGAAAGGGGAGGCATTCTAGGAAATATTTCAAATGCAGCCTACTAAATAGTGGGCACGTGGCCAGAAAACCTCCTCAGGCCAGGAACCAGGCATAGTCTATACATCTCTCTGGAAAATGGAGCACATAGTAGATGATGTAAGATCTTCTACATAAACTGCACTCGTACAAAGAAAGGAAGCATGATAGTACTTTAATAAAGTTGAAAATTTCATTTTTAAGATTAAAATACGGAAACTGAATTTTTGTTTATTTACATAAATATTTAAAAGACCTTTCTGCAAGGCTTTAAAGGAGAAGGAAGCAGTGGTGTTTTGTCATTTGAGTCAGTAAAGGAAGATTCAATGCAAGTAAAAACCTTGATTATAGATTCTGCAGACAGAGACAGGTCATCATCACAGCTAAAACATCATAGCCCTATGGGTATTTATACCAGAAACCCTCTATCCCTAGGAATCCTTGACTGGTCAAGGTCACATATAGAAACGGTTTCTATATGTGACATAATCACCCTATTACCCCACAAGTCTACAGTCTGAAAATACATGTGCAAAATCAGAAGTGGTGTTAGCATGGGGATCTATTGTGGTCTAATGAGCTCGAAGGAAACAAGTTACAATATTCAAGATAAAGGAAGCTACTGGAAGGTAACAGATCTGGCATACGCTCTTCTCCATTTCATCTGTACAAATTCTGATTCTCTCTGTAGTCAACTAATTTGTTGTTTAGCTTTTCCAGGTAACTTGCATGATAATTAAGTGAAAATATTGCAATTCTCTTGAGTATTCAACAACACAACATGAACACTACCCTTTCTAGACACAGAGCAAGCATTTGCCCTTCAGATTCTTCAAGGGCTTGATTAAAGCAATACAGTCCTCTGGGCATAAGATTCACCCTATGGGTACTATCTTGCTTTAAAACGATATTCCTTCAAAAATGTCAAAGCTTTTCTATAAAGAAATTTCTGCTTCTCTTAAAACTAAGATGGCTGTACCTCAGTGGGAAGTAATCTCTACTCTTCTTTGCTGAGGATGCAAAGAATGCAATCATCACGGGACCAGAAGGACAGCAAGCAAGGCCTTTTCTCACTAGCACTCTACATATTTCTTGGCTGGGCCTTCTACCACCAACTCACTTCCAATCACGAGACACCCATGGTTACTTTTCCCCACACTTCCATCATGCAAAAGGAGGAATCATCACTTTGGCATGGCTATAGCAAGGTACTTTACTCCCAGATAGATCTTGCAAAAACTCAGGAGTTCAATTATTACAGCCAGGAGTAGCCACAGAACCATCACAATACTTCATTGATGGAAATACTTAGAAATATATTATTTCACAAATTTTGGTATCACTCCAAACAGTTTAGTAACTTCTGGCAATTTTAGAGACAGTCAAGAAATCAATATTCTTCATGATTCTCGCTAATGCCAGAGACAGCGGAGATGCAGACAGCCACTCTGCTCTCCAGCATCAAGGGACCTTTTCAGTAGTTCTTGTCCTACTGCAAATGTCTCCCTTTCTGAATGCAAGAGGACCCCCTGGTCCTTCACAGGCTGGTGCCTCAGCTCCAGGATATACTTTTCCTGTGATTCTGGAGGTACAAGTCTTCTCCTAGTCCAGGGGACCTGCTTCTACTGTCTGGTGCATTACCCAGACCATATGAAGTCAAGTACCAACCTATCCCCAAGAGAGCAGTGGTTCCTGAATGTCCACAGAACCCAATGCTCACTGCAACAGGAAGAATTCGCCATGTGATAGATGGAAGAACAGTGACTGTTTATTTTGCTAGTGCTCCCTGTGACACAATAAGGCAATCAAGAAGTAATCAAAGTTTCACGTAACAATGCTTAGCCATCATGTTGATCGGCTGGAGACAGAAATACAATCAAAAGCATAAATTAATGTAAAGATGGTGTCCAAAGTTCTGAAATATAGACAAGAGCACAACTCATTGCAGTGGGTTGACCCTGACTGCATGCCAGGCACTCACCAAAGCTGCTCTCTCACTCCCCTCTGCAAATGGACAGGAGAGAGAAATGGATAGGGAGAGAGTCTTCCCACAAGCAGCAGTTCTCCACGCTGCTGCAGCATGGGTCACTCTCCACAGGGTGCAGTCCAGCCCCACAGGGACAGCCTGCTCCAGCATGGGTCCCTCACAGGATCACAAGTCCTACCAGGAATTCTGCTCCATTGTGGGTCTCCTCTCTCCATGGGTCCACAGGCCCCTGTCAGGAACTTGCTCCAGCAAGGGCTCCCCATGGGTTCACAGCCTCCTTTGGGAATCCACCTGCTCTGGCATGGGTCTCCTCCATGGGCTGCAGGGGGACAGCTGCTTCACCATGGTCTTCACCACAGGCTGCAGGGAATCCTCAGCTCTGGAGCCTGGAGTACCATCACCCTCTCCTTCTCCACTGACCTTGGTGTCTGCATAGTTGTTCCTCTCACATATTCTCGCTCCTCTCTTCTCTGGCTGCAATTACTTCTGTGCAATAACTTTTTTTCTTTCTTAAATATGCTATCACAGAGGCCTTACTACCATTACTGATTGGCTCGGCCTTGCCACAGTGGTGAGTCCATCCTGGAGCCACTGGCATTGGCTCTGCTGGACATGGGGAAGCTTCTAGCAGCTTCTTACAGAAGCCACCCCTGTAGCCTTCCTCCCCACTGCCAAAACCTGGCCACGCACAGCCACTACACTTATTTTACAGAACATCCTAGCAAACTTGTGAGTGACCATATCAGGAATTCACAGACAGGCATACATGCATTGCTATAGAGAGCATACTTATATTTTCTTGGAACAGGGTAGGGGGCAACATAGCCCTGACATTCACATTTTTGTACTACTTAAATCTGGGTAAATTGTTAAAAAAAGCCTCTATAAAAGTCACTTTTTAAAGCATGCAATAAATTTTAGAAACTTGAAAGAGCCATCTGGCCTAATATACCTGACATTTTAGACACTTATCTCACTCCTACTCTCCTGCTTTTCCTCCCTGCTCCTCTTTAAACTTGAGTCCTCTTTTTGTTTTCAGAAATAAATCTTGGGGCATCTTCGACAAACTTACATTTTTTTGTTTAATATGACTTCCCACGAATGCCATTAATTGTTTTACTATCATTTGCAATCAAATCTAAATCTTTATTCACTCATAGCTAAAGAAACGGGTTTCTGGCCAAGCTGTTTAAAAGCTGTTTTGGAATGTTTAACTCTGAGCAGCTCTGCAGTCCTACTATAATGTCATTAGGGCATCATGTAAGCTGGTTCTGAATGTTAAGTGGGCACTTCCAACAACAACAAAATGTTTTATTGTTTATTAGTGGTATTATGATTTATTGCTTCTCTGCCATTATGAGTCAGAATGCTGCCTTAGTCACAGCATTAAAAACCAAGCAGCCTGATTTTGGGAACTGCCTCAGTACTTTAGATGCAGTAGATCACCACAAAAGTGATCAGGGTATAGCTCAGAACTCCCACCCTGAGTGCATGCCCTGGCTGTGGCCTCCCATGTACTGGCACGACATGTGCACTCCCCCCCTTCTTTACACAAAAGAAAAACCCTGATCAGGTCAGAACATCTTTGACAATTAAATGCATTTTCCAGCAATGTTTTTGATAGTGTTTATTGGAAACACCATTGCAAAAAATATCAAGTCTCAAAATATTGGAAAAGGCTTTGCTGAAATGACTAATTTTGAAATTGATTTTATTTTCTGAAGAAACAAAAGAAGTTACAATTGCAAATGAGGATTTTTTGGTCCTGTAATTGACATGTTGCAATTTTCTGACTGAACTTGAAACATATTTTTAGAAACTACACTCCTCAGTTTATCTCTCTCACACAGTAAATAAACTGGAGTAAGAGTATAGTCATTAATGGTCTATTCCTTTACTAGTCCTCCTAGTCATCCATGATTTACTTCCATCCTCAGATCGACATAAAACAGAGAACCTGGATGGTTCATCCTTATGCATATCCTTTTTCTCTCATACACAGTCCCAGTATTTTTTTAAAATAATACACCAAGCAACCTATATATTAACTCTCAGGAAGATGATTTAATCCATAAGACCAAATGGGTTCTTCCACAGAACTTAATAACTTATGGAAACAAGTGTATCTCTTGCACATTAGAAACCATGGATTTCTTTTCATGTAAATCAGATTCTAAAAGCTACAATAATCTGTGGACAAACATAGAGTGAAATAGGTTAATAGATTAATCGCAAAAAACAGACTCGGTCAACCACTAACCCCATTAACTTAATTTTCAGTTCCTACAACCACAACAATCATTTTTACTTTACAGCTCATAATCCTCAACCTGAAGTTTCATTTAATAAGAAAATCTTCAGGTGTGCTCTATTAATTTCATTTCAGCCTTACCATAGTTGTCTCTTGAATTGACCCAAAGCTGTTAATGAAGATGTTAACCGCAACATCGACTGGAATTCCTTTAAAAAAAAAATCTCCAGTGAATTGCACAATCCAGTAAAGGTACATTATCCTTCATTTAAAGATCCTTTATTCTGGTATCAAAATGTAAAGTATTTTTTGTAGGGTCATACACTTTATTTTTTCAAGTTAGTACAGAAACAGTTTTCAAAAGCTGTGATTTAATGTATTTCCATTGAAAGCCAACAGAAATCACAAACTCTCCAACCTAGTGATAAGAAAACAGAAAAAAAATCCTCAGTCCAGAGAGCTAATCTTAAAGCATTTCACAGACCATAAATCTAAATGAGTAATTTTTGAATTTCATGATTTGCAGTTATCACAGAATGCACAACCAGTACTACTTTTGCACACAGCGTAATGGACAGAGGCAATTCACATTTCCAGCAGCAGACACTTTTAACTGTCAAGGTCATAATGATGATCTAGCATCTCAAATTACCTGTTTATGATTTATGATGAGACATTTACTTATACTGTAAGAGGATACCTCTTTGTGCAAGTCAAGTACATAACTGTCAAGTATGAATACAGGCAGATAAAAACTACTGCATGCAGCTCTCACAGCTATCTAGCCTTGGTGCAATAGAGCTGGAAAGCTGCTTCATTTTACAGTGGTTACCAATTTGCCAAGAAAAATTTCTAGAAGCCAGCAGCTGTAAAGATATTAAGATGCTCTGGATTTTTTTCTCTTTTCCACAGCCAGGATTCCCATAGTTGAAGAGGGATAGTGTGACAGCTGCTACATCTGTCCTCTGTCACCCTGCGGGAACTGATTGGCAGTCATTTAATCTGGTGTTAACAGAGAGTTATCATGAAGCAAGGAGAAGTGGCCTGATGGTTGTGAGAACTAATTATGGTCCACTAGTTTTATTTAGCATCTATATGTTGTGAATGTCAGTATGTCCACTAGATGCATGTATCTGATCTCTTCTACACAAATACTCAATTCCTTGGGTTTCTCCCTGCTTTCGACAACAAAGGAGATACAAGGATATATGAAGACGATTATGACAGGCTAAGCAAATACAGTACAAAGTAATAAATGCCTCCTCTAACAGTTTGCTTGTCTGCGTAAGATATGTTGGTGTGCATTTAATACATAAATTCAAACTCATTCTTTTGGTTCACCAGAAATTTACAAAGATAAAATTTCACTTTTATCAGTTAAACCAGTTTGTGAATTTTCTATAAAAACCAGACTACTTAATTGTGATGCTTTTGGTTATGCAATAAGCATAATACTTCTTTTAATGCCTGATGCATGTGACAGAGCACCCCTCACATCACTAGTAGCCAAGAGTGTACTCTCTCTTCCAGATTTGAATAGAAAGTGCCATCCAAGAAAATCACTCATGTGTGAGGAACATTTTAACATGGGCACACCACTTGTCAGAAAATGTTTTTTCTTCGACCTCCCTGTGAGTTAACATTCCATGTCCTCCCTATTCCTTCTGTCTTGATTCTCACCAGACTGCCAGCAGGGTTATCAAAAATACAAAGAAATCTGCAGTCTGCTTTGCAATCACCAGCAGGTTATGCTGAAGAACAGGTAGAGAAGAGGTTGGATGTTTAGTGTTTATGACAGGGATCAGTGTTGCAAACACATAAATATGGCTCTACAGAGCATAAGAAAGAAGCAGTGCACTTGCTGAGAACTGAGTTGAGTACACTTATAAAACAGGTAAAACATAGCATCTGAAAATAGTCTCTTCAAAAGCACAATAAAGATTACAGATTTCCAAATTTTTCAGACTAGTGATATGCATGTTAAAATACCTCTTAATATACACATAATTATATGTGAGTTTTAAAATGACAGAATTGATTTATGTAAACTGCATTGTCTGCATGTAAGAAAATTGTCTATGTCCTTTTCTAAAAGGGAAATAATCTAATTCCTGGAAAATGTAACTTACAGCTGTGTGTTATTAGACGTTTTGCACAGAAAATGTATTCCAACCTTTTCTGCATATGTAAGGAAGTCATACTTGCCTACATGGAAGAATCCTACAACATCTGACAACCAGGGCAATGTTTTAAAGGCAGAGAATATGCTTCAATGCATTATCTATTTGAATTCCAAATGCGTGTAAGCTTTATAACTAAAATATCTTTAATGGATTTAATAACTGTATGGTTTTCAAATAGTGATACTGCTGATCCAAAGTTCTTATAGTAACCTTAAAGGATGTCTATAGAGAAATTTGATGTTTCAAAACACTGTAAAGCAGAGATACTACTAAAGTCTAACTAAAATGTAAGGATAAAAAGACATTTTACAAACTTATAAACTTTTCCTATAAAGTCTATTTCTACTTTTAAAAATTCTTTTATAAAATAAAATTAATAATAATAAAGCATCACATACTATTATGATCATGAAATACTAACACATTATCTTTCAGCTCAGAAGGGTAAATACCTTCTGCAGTTTCACACTATCTAGTGAAATATTCATTTAAAAAACCCCAAACAGATATTTAGGTTATTAATATTATCTCTACGTAAGTTTTCTATGGGTGAAAAGAATAATTCCAAAAATTAAAACAAAGGATAAATTATCTAACAAACCTTTGAAATTAGGCCTTATCCTGGGATCGTACGTGAGCAATAGCCTATTCAAGATATTGCTGGTAGAATTAGCAGGTACTCTTGCAAGGTCTTCAGCTGACTGCTGTCTGTAAAAAAAAGTTCATTAGTTACTATCAAGATGGAAACAACTGTGTGCTTATACTTATTTTAAAGTAACGCCGTGTCATTTAATGAGCAAAATATTGTCATTATTTTCAGCTTTCATACTGTATAGTCTTCCTTGCCTTAAGACGTTTCAGTAGTTTCCAAGAAACTGTAATAAACACAAAAGCTCTCCTGTATGCTCTGTAAACCTGGAAACAAATAAACCACAATTCACTAATTGTTCCCTTCCCTCCTACCATAAATATCCAGAGGGACCTGATTTCTTCATCAGCAGAAAGCAGACACCTGAACTATTTTTACTGACTGTCAGATTAGGAACTTCAGTAAATTGACAGTCACTTTGTAGAGGTGCCAAACCATGCAGAGGCTTTTGGCTGTCTCCTGCTCTTGCATGACATCGCCAGCTATTCCACCCAGAACTGGAGGATTGCATAATCTCATTGTCAAGAGCTAATAAAAGCTTTGTTACAGAAAACGAGGCCTGAGACTCTCCTCTGGTTTTGCAGGGGGAATTGAAACATCTTCAATTACGTTGTTGTTATTGTGATGGGTGTTAAATTAAAACCATTACTACAATTAAAAAGAACCTGTGACAGGCAAATGCAGCTACAAGAGTACCTGAAATGGAGTGGAATAAAAAGCACTAAGGGTGCATCAGTCCCCACCCCAGCTACTTTATGCACCTAGCAAGCTGATAATATCATGTAAATTAATTTGGATGTTGTGCACAAAACCTGTTCCTGACAGTTTCAAATTTTGAATTCTGTATCATAATAACTTTCCCGTGCCTTTCATGACTAGTCTGCTGACTTTCTGTTATTGTAATTTAGCAAACAAGATGCCATGTAAAAACAAGACAAACACTCTACAGAGGTATGTCATAATCCCTCTCACAAACAAATCTATGAAAATATTTTCTAAAATGACCCAGTTTATTTCCTAAATGTTTTCCATAATCAGTATCAGCTGCCCTTGCCTCCTTTACCCTAATTTCTTTTTTTCGCTATTCTCTCCCATATCAATGTCAGTTTGACAGACCTACAAGTTATTCTTTATAACATCTCAGTTCATGGCTTTTTTTCTTCTTATCTTTCATATTCCTTCATGTCCTCTGGGATTTCTGCCTTATTCAAACATTTATTGAAGAAAATATTAACTCTCCAAAACGCTTTTAGCCAGTTTAAAAAAGTTGCATGAATGTATGAAACCTCTTGATTTTAAGATGTCCAATTATAGTAGCTCCTGTTCAGCATCTTTCTTATTGACTACTGGGAAAATAATTAATAAATGTCATTGTTATTTGATGGAAAATTGAAGATGAGACCACATCCTAGCCCTTGAAGAGCTTTTATGAATAACCTCACTTTTAAAAACAACTGGTTTGAATCAAACCATAAGGGAAACGGTAAATTTACCTACTGAAAAATTGTAGACGCAGAATCAACATTTACTCAGAATCCTACAGTGGAATTCATGCAGAAAATTGCACCTTTTTTGTCCCCTGTGTTAAACATATGTGAATGGATAGCTTTACTACACTTTAACTTAAAAACCTACTCTATCAAATTTTGAGTCTGGCTGTGCACATACCCATGTGCACAAGTTCCTCTTAATTAGCAAATTTTAACTGACTTGAAAATAGATTTCAACAAGGGAATGAAGCAATGATTAGAGGCACGAATAAACATAAAAACTCAGAGCTGTATTTCAATCATTAATGAAAACACACATTTGTCTTTTGCCAAAAGGGGTTACATTTGGAAACTTATTTGATGCATAAGAGCTTTTAAATTTTAAAATAGTAGCAAAGGAGAGCTTCTAATTACTTGTGATTTCCTTAGAAGAGTAATTACAGCTATGTGACCCGTCTGTGTATTTAGCATAGAGAGGCCAGGTAGCTTGTACCTGGTACCTAGTCACTAGTACTTAGTGCATATTCTGAGACAATATGACAGTTTCAGCTAGTATTAATCACCTCAAACAAAACATTTATGAACCCGCAGCATCCAGAGGTTCAATTCCAACAACTGTCTATAAGAACAGGTTGTATTCAAAACATTTTGGTGGAACAGGAGGAAATGAACTAGATCTGAATGAGTTGGTAGCACTCACTATGCCTTCCCAATGAGATTTAACCTCCTCAGTTACATTTAACAGCTAAAATGTTAAATAAAACTATGAAGGAGTTCCATATTATTAAAAATGTGTCAATCATTTATGATAACATCATTTTATTCTATATAGTCTCCTTGATACCTTTTGAGCATTTTATCCTTCACAAACAAAATAATCAGATTTCTGTTTTCCCTGTTGTATTCAGGATATTTCCAAAACTTACAGCTGCATAACTGTTTGGCAATTTTCTAGTATTTGCTTGACATTATAAATGAGGAAGAAATTATGGCAGTAAATAACCACTCAATCCTCCTTGAAATTTTGGACTACTCATCAGCCACTAGCAGGATAAGTATCCACTCCAAAGACTGCTCAGAGATGTAGCTACCAAAAAGTGTGTACCCATGAGTATAGCTTAAACTGTAACATACAGAATGAGAAAAGAATTTTGGAGCAGCATTAAGTGGCTGCAGCATATAATCACCCACCCATTTCTTGCACTAAACACTCTAAAACCCCTGTGACATTGCAACCACATAGGCGAACTCATTGCTCCACCAGAACTTACCCAGAGATAAACAGTCCGCTAATAAAACAAAGAAATTTTTACTTTTAGCAACATATGTTAACTTCCACTAATACGTCCTTTTTCTGTGTACAGTAAACCTTTGCTAATTTAATACTAAACCTAATAAACAGCAACAGATGTTCTAACTCCTTTGAATAATTGATAAATTCACCTTCAAACAATTCTCCCAGGGTTGAGTTTATAGGTTGTTATACATTACTTCAAACTGGATCATTATGTAAAAGAACTAATTTATTTCCTCATTTGGTCAGGCAGTTGGTCTAGATTATCCTTGTAGGTCCCTTCCGGCTGATCTATTCTATTCTATTCTATTCTATTCTATTCTATTCTATTCTATTCTATTCTATTCTATTCTATTCCTCTAATTTTGAGATGTGCTGTTTTCACTGATGACCTTTACCAATGAACAGGTTGCTACAGAAATATCATCAACCAGCTATGTATTCACATATTTTTGCAGGTACCACTAATTGGACAACAGGCATACACAAAGTTAAATGTTATGATCATTTTCCATTTTGAAGCAGGAACAAAACAGAAAGGATGCTCATTTAGCTATTAAAAATGCACTCTATACACTGTATTCTATCTGATACAAAAAGGTTCAGAGCAGTGCTTCCTTGCAAGTCACACATACTAATACCTAAAACATCTACATCAGATGTCTACAGCAATTACATTTATAAAAGGACAATTTACTTAACACAGACAACAGGATTTGTTTGAAATGATATATGAACAGTATAATGAAATATTAAAACACAACCAAGCAACAACTAATGAACAAACTTAAATCCTTTTTTCTGTAAACTACTTTTGCTATGGGTTATACAAAGAAGTTCATTAAATAGTGAAAAGAGTAATCTGAATCACACAGGATACCACAGACACATAAATGAAATACAGACGCTCATAAAATGGAATAAGGAAAAAAGTCTGAGAAATTAAATGAGTGAGCAAAAAATGGCAAAAGAAAGCCAAGTGCAGCTGACAGGTTTATTTTTCTCTTCAAATAAGAGGAATAAAGTGCTAGTTTTGTAAGAGCTGAGTTGCAGTGCAGAAGTATGTTAATACAAGTAACTGTTCAAGGCTGTTTGTTCAAAAGCCACCCATGAGAGGGGCCAAGGAGATGTACTGCACTGAGAAGACAGCAGTGGGAAGAACAGTGGCAGCACTGCCTTCTGGTAAAGAACACCATGACCACATCTGCTGCAAGCTGTTGGGTTGTGTTTTGAACTTAGGCAAGTATGTAAGTGTATGTATCCTCATTTACCTAAGAACCAAGTGAAATCCAACAGCATTGGCTGTTTTGAGTTAGGAGAAGAAGCACTGAGAGTCAGTAATTGCTGGTTTTAAAGGTCACTTTGAATGAAGTGGTTGAAATAGCTACTGGAAAAAAAGCCCTGCTGAGTATCAGTCACATTTTCACTGTGGTGTTTTACAGCATGCTGTCACTGAACTACCATTATTCAATAGCACTTATGCAACGAAACATCATCACAAGGACTGGATTTCCTTCAGAGACCCTTGCTGACCAAATGCCTAAATTTCACCCTCAAATAAATACATCATATATGTTAATTTTGGTGACTTAAGACATTATGCCATCTTCAGAGTGACAGAAGAGTAGAAGGACTTCACAGAATACTAAATGGGATGTGTTAGATGTTTGGATAAAGAGGCTGAGACTATTAATATTTACCTAAAGCCACAAACACCCCTGCTTAATTGGCCATTCTGGAATTAATTTATTAATGATAGGCAAATCTGTAGACTACATAAAGGAAAAAGAATTTGTGCTGAGATCTGCTTCCCTAGAAGAAGCATTACTTCTGCCTGCTGAAGGCTGAGTCCCATATAACAACACTCAGACCAACTAAGAACTTGTTTACACCCTTTCTAATTCAACCTCAAGCATTCCCATTTGTGAAAAGCTGATAACTAGCCTTAGATTTCCACAGCTGAAGCATGCATAGATTTCTATTTTTAATGTATTTATTTCAATATGTGTCAAATGTATGAGGAGCTGATGGAAAGAATTAACAAATGGAAATACAGCACTTTTCACAGTAATTGATGAGTTCTAAGCAAGACATGGTGAATGCCAACGGATAATGCAACACAAGTCTCACAGTGGCTATAAAGAGAATTTAAAAGCAAATAATAGTAATGCTAGAAATTGCCTTAACAAGAAGTTACTTAAGTAACAGTAAAAAATATCTCAAATAACCAACACAAAAAAAACCCCAAACCAGAAGTATAATTTTTGGTTTTTCT